AAAGCGAGGAAAAGAGGGAAAATTCAAACCAACTAAAAACAAACAATTGCTTTACGCAAATTGCCGCTATTTCAAAGTGAAAGTAAAATGCGCACGCCGCTTTTACAAGCTATTTAAAAGCAAAGGAAAGCGAGGAAAAGAGGGAACGCCCCACCCCCGCGGTGATACCGGTATTACCGGTGTTGTCACACGTTCATGAACCGGTGGGAAAATTTCCTCACCGTCACAACCCTACTCAGAAGCCTTAAAGACAAGTGGGCAAAAAGACAAATAGTGTGTATGTATGTGAGAAAGAACGAACGAAAGAAATAAATACACTGTGACAAGACAGCCTCCCCAGACAGTCAAGAACACACCAGCACAAGTCTGTTTTACATTCTGGTAGAACATGGCATCATAAAACACGGACATATCTGTAACACATTCACTGCTATAGAAGAGATGATCATCAAACCTTCAATTCACCATTCCATTAGAAAACCACAGACACCATCAACGCAGGACCGAGAACAGCTCAGCAACCGTGTGTGAGTCATTTCTTGAAGCTGGTTTACTCTCAGACTAAAGTTCAGTTTTAAGGAACCAGGAAAAAAAAAAACAACAACATTCTTTAAACAACAGCAAACTAAAGAATTATTTCCATTATCAAACGTGGCACTATCAAGTGTTATAGCGCTCCTGCATCACAATTATACAGTGCAAATTTTACATTCAAAACTCACCAGTCATGGGTTCTTAGAACAACTAGTTGGTCTTAAGTAATTGCTGTTTGAATTAGGCTAGCTATGGTCATGTATATGGATATTGTCATTTGTACACTTGATCAGATACATTTCTGAGAAATACACTACAATTTAAAAGTTTGGGTTTCACATAAGTCTCTTATGCTCATCAAGACTGCATTTATTTGACCAAAAATGCAGTTAAAACAGTAATATTGTGAAATACTATTAAACTTATTAAAATTATTACACACATTTTTATTTTAATATTAATAATTTATTCCTTTGATTGCAAAGCTAAATTTTCAAGCTAAAATGCTGATTTGGTCCTCAAAATATTAATTTCTTATTATTATCAATATGAAACAGTTGTGCTGCTTAATAATTTAATGGAAACCGTGTTTAAAGTTGTAATGCTAAAACTCTCCGAAATTTTTTTTTAACATAAGAGCAAGCACAGCTATTTGTAACTTGTGCATGGCTTTCAGCTTCCAGTTATTATAACAGCAAAAACAGTCCGTCATGCAGCTTGATAATGCAAACTGGTATTTGTTATATTATTTTAAAATATTGTTCTTAAACAATCCTTAAAGCCAAAGTATACTTTGGGTTTTACACGTACTTGCAGGTACGCGTACAGTGCGAGTGATGCAAATTTCGTCACCAGAATAGAATTTTTGTTACCATGCGCACCTTGTACGAGCAAGTCGCATATGTGCATTGACTTGGCTTTGCACTAATCAGTTGTTCCACAAGGTGGCAACACTGGCCCGGCCCGTCATTTCACATTAGAAAAGCAAAACTAAAGAGATGCAACAACAAAATAGCGAAGACTGAAACAACAACAGACGCACGCATTGACAAGCACTTGTGTGAGTGTTACGAGATAGCAGCAACTTCAGTTTAAAACAATACAAAGACATTTTTATCGGTCATAACTTCTGGAGAAAGTCTAGCAGACGCTAAACAAAGATGATGCTTTCTAGAGCGCATGTGTCAACTGCCTGCATTTGCGCACACTATCAAATGGAAGATTTTTTTAAAGACTGCAAACTTTAGTCACAAACCAAGGGTAAAGCAGTAGAGTTAAAAGCAGTCACAATAGTAACTCTCCGTAATTACAGTCATTATTAATGACACTGCTGTGCACAGCTCCTACAATTGAGACTATGAACAGTGACTAATCTCAGTTCAAGCTAGGGATGTGCGCGACGACTAATTTGACTGTCGTTTAAACGGAAGTTTTGTATCCGACTAGTCGACTAGTCTAAAGGCACACTCAACGTCAGCCAATGCTTATTTATTAAAATCAGCTGGGGAAATGCAGAACAATGGAAAATCAATCAATAGCCTGACAGAATTCTTCATCTTTATATAACGTTAGCTAACATATTAAAACACAAGTCAAAAACAATAGGACATTTTATCAAGGAATAGCATTAAAACGGCTTTTAAAAACATATTTCATCATGTAGGCTATCATCTAAAAACAAAACGAACAAAAAGAAAGACATGACCTGAGGCGAATAACAATTCCTGCACTTGAAAAAACACTCTGCAGGAACTGAAGTCGCAGGCACGCAGAGATAACGAAAAAGCAAGCCAACAGAATTTCGGAAAGCGTCTGGACATCCCGCACCACCACCGAAGTGGGTGTTCGTTAGAGGAATAGACGGCGCGGACGGGATCGCAGCGGCGGCGGGCTGTAGCAAATGACTTGATTGACATTAGCTGGCTTTGGCTAGTCTCTAAGCTAACGCCTACGTGCCTGTATTGAATATGATTACGCATCGCTCCAGTAGAGTTATTGTAAGCCAATTTGACATTACACAGTTTACACAAAACTTAATCTGTTTCCTTCTAATTCAAAATAATCCCACACCTTGCTCGACTTTCGCGTGGTCACTTTTGAGCTCGCCACAACGGACACGAAAAAAACTCATGCGAGGTCTGAGGTAAAAATGTAGTTTACGCCCAGATACACTTTTAAAAATAATGTATTATATTTCAAATGTTTTATTTTAACTTGTTATTTAAAATGTTTTAAATGTAACAATGGTAATTTGATGGTAACATAAAATGATAGTAATTTGAATGATAATTATGTTTTTTTGTCGTGTAATCGACTATTGTTTTCAGTGTCGACTAGTAGGAGCTGTACCGTTTAGTCGACTAGTCCCGCACATCCCTAGCACATCAGAAAATCAGCTAATAACTTTGAATGACTCCCAAATCATTATTCATGATTAACTATGTTTATTTTTAGGTCTGTTCAACTAATGAAAAACTCAATTTCCAAACAAGTTAGTTAAGTGTTTTTAGAAAAACATGCCCAGAATTTCATGTTATAAAATGAATAGAGGCACGGTTTTGTATGGCTAAATGGTGACAACGCAATCACAGTTGTCTGAGTTGGCTGTGGTACAGCAGGATTACTGCAAGATCTGCTGGTATGAGGTCACCTCACTGAAATAGACAGACATCAGATATTTCCTCTAGAAGCCACTCACACTTCATGACCATCTGTGTTAGAGACGCTTCTAAACTGCTAACAACCCCAGAACAAACATGGCCATGTCTGTCTGCAAACAGGAAATGTGTAAATAACTGAGTAATGTGAATTAAAGAGAGAAAAAGAGCAGAGAAGAGAGAGAACAACTGGGGTTTGTTTATTTCTGCTTTTCTACAGTGATAACCAAATTGATTTATAATGTTGAGGCCCAGCCATTTCTGGCCCTCTTTTCATTTGAGACAGAAAGGGATGTTGAGGAAGAAGAAAAGAGAGAAAATAAGCATAGATGGGCGTTCACACATACAGCATCGCCCGTCATTCAATATCAATGAGAGCTGGCGATTTCCAGAGACATGAGCAGCAGAAAAAGTTGGCAATGCATTCACTTTTATGCCAATTAGTAGTAACATGATGCAACCACTACTAATAGGAGTGATACTGGAGAAAACTTGATCATTATCTCCTGAGAGACACTATTGTTGATTGTAAGAAAAGACAAAGGAAAAGCTCATGTAAAAATCACTGCTCTACAGTTTACTGATGCCATGAACAAATCGTTCTGTCTACTAAATCAAGTCACCCCAAAACAATTTCACTGGCTAAAAAAAGTAAAAATCCAACAAAATTGCTTAGAATGTCATATTACATTCATTAATGCCTTTTAATTAGGGCTGTGCTAGTTAGCATGACAACGGCGGTGGTGGAGCACCTCCATGGTGGTACAGCAAAACACATTTTGGCACATATTAAATGTTTTTGACATAATTATTAGGACATTAGTGAAATACAAAGTTTTTACTTTGTTTACAAAATAAATAATTGGTTAGCAGCCAAATGTTACATCGCAACCAAGAAAACAACAGAATTCATGCAGAGAAAGGTACGTGAGCCCATAAATTTAAGCCATATGTGGCTTTGTGTTCTGTTTTGCAGGCTGGTCACTCTGATTGTTACAGAAAGAATTGTTAGTCTAATTTTTTTTTTTTTTTGGTAAATGACAGTCTACGCTAGTGGTCGACCAATATTGTTTTTTTGACAAATAATATTTGTTGTTGGACATTAAATGTGACACATGTAGAATTTTAATCCTACATATGAGTGTATTTTTTTATCATAGCAGTAACTGTAAATTAAATGTAAGCTGCTAATACAGCCCTACTATCTCAAATGAGTTAAATGTGTGTTCCTCTTATCAGCTAAAATGTAGTCTGATTTCTATTATTTATTTTAATTTTTAATTCAGTGGTTTTAATGTTCTACTAATAACCATAAAAGGTACAGCTGTCATAAAACCCGAGAGAAAGGCTGCATGGCTAGAAACTGCTGATCAACTGAATGTGCAAGTAGCAAGGTAATATCATTGGGTTCCTATTGGTCAGTGTTAAAGGAGCTCAGCTTAGCCTGACAGTTAGCCTGATCTGGACCAGGTTAGTTTCCCAGCATAAGTTGCCACAGTGACTGAGCTTGAGCTATGGTAATTTTGCTTTATGAAACCAAATCAAGTGAAAATAAGTCGGACTAACTGAAATAAGCCTGGCTTATTTGGTCAACTTGTTTTATGAAACAGCCCCCCTGGTATTGACATTTCAGGCTAAACAGAGGATGCTAATGTCCTTTTCCTGTTTATAAACTTTACAAAAAACAGCTCTCATTAAACTAAGGATGTGTGATGGCTGCTTGCAGCAGTATTTAGGACTGCTCTGTTACAAAGAATAGGTGGTTCAATTCTAGTGGTTCAGGATCTGCACAGTACACACAAAATTAACAAGTTCAAAGTGTGACTGACACAGGAATAGCAAAGTTGCAGTTATAGGGTCCCATTTTATATCAAGTGTCCCTAATACCTGTGTACTTACATAGTAACTAGATGTGTACATAGTATGTAACCACAGTGTAAGTACATATTGGTGCTGTTGTTACAAAATGTAGATATATAGGTCCTATTACACATTTGTACTTACACAAACCATCCTGAGGGTTGTTACATGGGTGTAGTTACAGAAATATTACAGCTGTAGATACTATGTACCAATGTGTACTTACACTGTGGTTACATACTACGTACACATTTAGTTAAGTACACAAGTACACACATGTAAGTACACAGGTATTAGGGGCACTTAATATAAAGTGGAACCGTTATAGTTCTACTTTAGCAGCATTCTTGTTATGTGGTTTGTAGGCAGCGTAATATGTGGTGCAGGTAGGAGTGTGTGTGGTACTGACCGGCTGGTGGCGCGTGGAGCTGAAAGTGTACTGCACTGAGTGAGGTGGGTAACGGCTCTGCTCGCTACTGAAGGGCCCCTGGCTGGGGGGAAAGCCTGAACTAGACATGCTGCAGCTGTCTGGTGGGGTGCTGGAGGCTCAGACGGGGCCTGGAGCACTGCTACTCAATCACGGGCTCAACGTTGGCATGACTGTGCTGCTAAACCACCTGAGGAAGAGAGAGAGAAAGAGGAGGAAACATCAGAACATTTCAAGAGCCAAGGAGTCTTGAGTACAAACTCTTTCCATGACCAAGCAAGTTTTTAAAGGTCTCAGATCACAATGTGTGACCAATTGGCAGCCATTTCTATTGACGAAACAGGCTTTGTTTCACAGGATTGCTATGCTAATGTTCTGCTTGGTTTTCCAGAAAAAAGTTCTGGCTTCCTGAAACTAACAAAAGACATTTTGATTCTTATCAAGCCCATGACATTTGTAATGATGTTAATATTTCGACACAAAGCACATCAAAGAAAAGGACTGCATCATGTGGCATCTGTCTTCTCAAGAATGACTCAATGCTCCATGACTTTGCCTTTCTGCTGTTGTTTTTAGGGATGTACCGAAATGAAAATTCTTGGCCGAAGCCGAAAAAATTAAACACTGGGCCGAAGGCCGAATACCGAACACGGTTTTTCAAGTTTTTTTCCCCATGTATTTTGCCAATTTTTTTTCACCATTGCATAAATTAAAAAGCCAAAATGTGCTTTTTACTGTTTTGTCTTGCTTTTAAAAAAAATTTAAAAAATCAAATTACAAAACAACAATTTAAAAACATTTAACACTGAACATTTTTAACATTCTAGCAGACACTATAACAACAAAGCACAATTTAACTTAAAATTAATAAGTTAGTAAAATAATAATTTTTGGCCATCTTGAATCAGGTATGTTTTTTTTTTTTTTACTGTACAATTAAAAGCAGCCTTGCTGAGAAGAGACTTCTTTTAAAACATTAGAAAATATTACATATCCTAATTTGAACACTATGTGTGAATGTTATAATAAATGTATTAAAACAGCTGTTGTAATGATTATTATCATTATATTATTGTCTTACGTTTTATTTTATTTTACAGAAACAACAGTAAAATTACAATACTAACATGTATGAATGTTGATAGAGTTCTTGCTTTTTCTCAACTTTT